GTGTTTGCTTCTTCTTCTTTCTTTTTTTTTTTTGGGACAAGGTATCATTTTAAAATGGTAAGAAGGCAAAATTATGCAGCAGATGCTCACTGGAGGTTGAATTTGAAAAAAAAAAAAACAATTCTGAAATGGCCTGGGCACCTAGAATAGAATTCAGCAAACAGAACAGGTGAGGAAGGCTGACATGGATCTTTTCACATGGCCCAAATCCACGTGGATAAGTTAGTGGCTCAGATAGTCCAACCAATAATTTGGATCCTATCTTGTCAAGTCAAGGCCCACAACACAATCACACGTGAACTTGTCCTCCCCATCATCAACTTTTCACATTTCTTCTCCATGCTTAATTCATTCTCACAGTTACGCACCTACTACCTTCATGAATAAATCATAATTCACTCAACATCCAGCTCAGTGTACGTTTAGTTCATTGTCGGGGAGATGTTCCAAGTTTGAATTTTTTCTTTTTCATTATTAATGTTTGTGTAAATTTCTCACAGAAGAATATTCGCGTATAGATCTTTCACTTTTTGGGTTTCCTTCTTTCTCTTCCTCAATTCCTGTAAAATAAATAGAAGTAAAAGACCACACCCGAGGGTGTTGGCCAAAGACCCTTCGATGCCTAAGTTAGTTCGATTGGCTCTTTAAAAAAAGATGCGGCAATAACTAAAAAGGGTACGTGTTTTCACTAATTGATGATAATATCCTAAATTGATGGTATCATCTTTTAATTGGTGATTATATCCCATATTTAAGATAAAATCTCTATTTTTGGTATCAATTAATTTGCCAAATAAATGGGCTCAATTATTGATATAGGAGATATTTTTCTTATCCGCACCTTTGTGATTGGAAGCCAAATTATTTGCTCCCACAACTAATATATAAAAATAAATAAATATTATTAATCCATTGGCATGAAAAACTAAAAATATATTATATATATATAGAGAACTTCAGTTGAGGGATTCCTAAAATAAGCTTATTTGAGGGGGTCCATCATGCATTGTATTTCAATAATTTAAACATGGTAGTTTTTAGATATTAACTCAAATATCATCTCTGCTAAAAATAATTTGAATCTGAAATCATGTGATCACTCAATTAGATAGTTGTCATTATAGTCTTTTCTTGAAGCACAGTGTTCGTCTATTTTGTTAGTCCCAACTAAATGCTTTAATGGTTTTCAATTTATCTGATATTTTGTAAGGATGATCTATAAACGAAGACTTAAAAAATAAATTGTTTGGATCGTTGAAAAAATAATAATCGTAGGGGGGTGTCCCTCAATAGAAAGGATATGTATATAATTTGACCACTTAATTGAATGATTATTATTGTAGTGTTTTTTTAAAGTACTGTGTTCGTCGATTTTGTTGGGCACAACCTATCTTGATGGTTTTCCGATTTATCTAATTTTTTTGAAGGATAATCTATGAGTGAAGACTTGAAAAATAGACGATTTGGATCATTTAAATAAAACTTTTCGCTGGCCCCAAAAGGTGTTCCACAATAGAAGAGTTTGTGTGTATATATATATATATATAGTGGTGATTTCCCCACTCCAATTTTATCCACTTAAACTCCATTCTATAACTAAAAAAAGAGTGTTAGTGGATAAAATTGGAGTGGAAAAATCATTATATATATACAGTGAGCTTCGATTGAGGGATCTCTTAAATAAGCTTATTTCAGGGACACCCTTATAGGGCCCACCACACATTGTTTTTTCAATGATCCGAACCGTTTAATTTTTAGATATTTGTAGGGGATTTTTTGTTCCTGCAGCTACTACGAGCCTGGGCTGCTGTAAAGAGCCAAATGTGTGAAAATTTCCTCTGGGTCTGAGTTCAAGAATCTCAGACCCCAAGAATGCTTCGAAAGGGTAGCTGAGCCTTAAGAAGCACCTTAGTTACCTTCACCAGCAAAACTAACAGTCGCTTACAGATAAATACTTAGCTTGGCATGAGAGGCTTGTGGCATGGAAGCAAAGCAGTCATGAGTTTAGCATTAAAGAGAGAGAGGGTTGTGATTTCCTATGAGAAACATGGGTTTAAGGTAAGGGGAGAAAGGTATTTTGAGAGGATTCGTTAAAGAGAGAGAGAGATGGGAAGAACAATGAGTGTGTTGAGTAATTTTCCGGCAGCCTGACAAAAGTTATGTTATACTCTAGAATGGCTTGCAAGAAGAGAAAATGGGAGGAGAAGGATGAATAAGACACGCAATTGCAGGGCTTCAAGGATGAGAGATAATGCTTGCTTTCTAGATGTGGGTTGTAGCTAGTGGTGAAGTAGTGTGTGTGGTTGTGTTGATGAGAAGGAAATGCCTCTTTTTATAGCCACTGGTAGCTCCTCCTTTCCAAGAAACCCTAACGGCTTCTCTCTAATTTTGCCAAGTCTCCCCTTTCATTTCTCTTCTTTCCTTTCGATTCACCCCATTTTGTGAAATCTTCCTCTGTCCAAACACACAAAGACAAGATTTGTAGGAGTTCGAAGGCCTTCCCGCAGCTGCTTCAGTGTTGAACTCTTATTTTTGACTACCTCCTCACCTTCTTTCCTTCCCTCTTCCATGACAAGAGCTGGTAGGAGAAAAAAATTGGTAAAGGCGTTGGTTTGAAGGGTGCTTCTGCTCTGCGCACACTAATACCCATTGGTTCTTTGCGTGTTCTTGGTGTTTGTTCTTGCCCATGTGCTGGAGCCTCCCAGCAGCTTACATACATGGATATTTTGGCTTTCATCGTGGCTCTTGTTTCCAGCTAAGTGTTGGAGATTATAGATATTTCTTTGGTTGCTTAGGCTTTCCTAAGGTGATGGGTTAACCCATTTAAGGAAATGGGCTAATTTCCTAAAATGATAGACTATTTTATTGAGATGATTGATTAATTTTTCCTAAAGTATTGGGCTTTTTTCTCTAGAGTATTGGGTTTTTTTTTTTTCTTTTTTATGCTTACCCACATATTTGGGCTCAAGAAATAAGCTTGAGTTTTGGGGCTTCCAAGCATCCCAAAACTTCCATTTCTCGGATCATCAATGGGCCTTATGAAAGCTCGTTACCATCCATACCACAACCCACTCAGTAAGCCCCGGGCATTTGCGTGGCTTGTGCCCACTTAAACCTGTAACGTGACTATGTGTAATAATAATGATTTTCGCTTGGCATTGCATATCACTTGGCATGCTTGTATTTTGTCGCCTTTAAAAAGGGATATGATGCTTGACAGAATAATTAGCATGGGCTTATAAAGCCGGTGCCTTTTATAGGCCTCTTTTAATTCTTAGTGTGCACGGTGGCATATTTATTTGGCATGACACGTGGTCGTGGCTCGTGCAAGCGTGCATGACGAATTTCGCGTGCTTCGAACTGAATCTTTTCTTAATAAGGTGTCGCACTGGGTTAAGAATTTATTTGGGCCCAACCCTGAATTTTTTGGGCGTCAACAATTCACTCAAAGATCATATCTGCAAAAAATTACTTGAATCCGAAACATTTTGACTACTCAATTAGATTATTGTTATTTTAAGTGAATAAAAAATTCACCAATCCAATCTCCCAAGTAGTCACGCATTACACACCGAGCACCAATAGCCCCAGAACAAGTCTTACAAATACCATCCACATTTAATTTAAAAGCTACAATCCGAGGAGGCAATTAGGATTTGACACAATTGACGGAACGAAGCCACTCCTTCACAGCAACTTGAATAATCTTCTATGGACAATGAGGCAACTCCTCAAGCTCAGCAAAAGTCTGATGGTTCCTCCACTTCCAGATAAACCAGTATGCCAAGGAATTCCTTCCCCCAAGTGGCCTTAGAACATAGTTTACTTAAGAGTCGAGACTTGACAACAGCATTAGAAAAAGCATGAACTTTAATGATCTTTTGTACAATTTCCTCAGTCACAACACCCCTCAATTGATCAATATCCCACCATCTATTTTAAAAAAAGCTATCCACTGTACAATCTTGCTCAACTACATTGAGCACTCCTTGGTGCAGCAAGGGACCCTCATGGAGCCAGTGATCCAAACTGAATAGTATCACCCTTGCCAACTCTCCAATTCATACCTTTTCCAAAAAGTTGGGCACCATATATAATACCCTTTCAGGTAGAAGAACCATCCTTCTTGGACTGTGAGGAAGTATTAAGAATGGATTGGCCTTTTAAATACTTATCCTCAAACATCTTGGCGCATAATCCTCAAATGGCCTTCTAAATACTTATCCTCACCTTTCTCTTTCTTTCTCCCTTTACCCCATCCTATTTCCATTTCACCGCTTCCTGCTCGAATCCTTTTCTTTCTCTTTTCAACTTTCTCACCAATTTCTGACACTTATCTGCTCCAATCTTCTTCTCATCTTCCATATGAACTCTTGTTTATGAATTGTCCAAGATATTTAGGACCTTGGTTTTTATGTGAACTTTGGAAGTATATGTTGTTCTTGATGATGTAGGTTTTTTTTTTTTTTTTTTTGAGAACTCTTGATAATGTAGTTAAAGATGTAGAAGTATTTAACAAGTTAAATACAATTTTGGAGATAGCATAAAAAAACAAAGGGACATTTTAGAAAAAGCAAAAGAAGAGAGAAAAATTTTAAAAGAAGCAAAAATGGACAAAAATGCCCTTATTTATTTTTAGATTTCCTAAGGAATCCAATACATTTGCATGTCTTTGATTTGAAAGTTGAACGATTTTTTTGTCTTTTTTGAAAAAGCTTTGGCTTTTTCCAAAAGTGAAAATTTTTTTATGTCTAAAACCTAAAAAACCTAAAAACAAAGTAGACCTGCCGAAATTTCAAAGGAAAATTTTCAATTAGAAAAATTGACTACGATCAAAGATTCTGATCAAATTTTGGTCCAGTGTCAACTTTTTGAAACCATTCTAATTTTGGGATGACCAGAGAAAAGAAAAAAAAAACGAAAAAAAGAGAAAGAATCAAATGACGTGTAATCTTTGGAAGCCCTTGATATGCAACGTGTAATCTTAGTCTGGCTCCAAGCCCTCGAGAAGAAGCCAGACCGACTCAGGGTCAGTTAAGTTAAGATTGAGAGAGAGAGAGAGAGAGAGAGAGAGAGAGAGAGACAGGGAACAGAGAGAGTTGTTTGAATAAAAATGGCGGTTGAGAAGGGAAGGTACTGTGTAACAGGGGCTGGCGGGTTCGTTGCGTCGTGGGTCGTTAAGCTTCTGCTTTCCAAGGATTGCACTGTCCACGGCACCGTTAGAGATCCCAGTAATTATATACAAATTCCACTCATAACCAACGTTCCTTCCCCGCTCTTTCTTTCTTTCTTGCTTTAGCTAAGAAATTATGTTCACTGTATATGCGATTGTTACTCAAGTCTCTACTGTTCCATCATCATATAATAAATCTGCTTTCATTTTCATTGTCATTTTCTGCTAAGCTAGATCTCGTTTATGCAGATTAAATATTAGGCAAATTTGGGCTGCCATCTTTGGTCGACCCAACTTTGTCCTTAAAAGCTGATGCCTTTTCATTTCGTGTCATCTCATAATTAATAAATTGGTGTTCTTTTCATTATCTGATGCTTGCTTAAACAAAAACAAAGTGGTGATTTTGTTATCAGTTTCAAGTTCCAATGGAAACATTAATAAATTTCTTGATTCAGCAAGCATTGTTCTCCACTAGCTAGCAAAGAATGTTGGAAATTGCTCTACTAATGTGGAATTAGTGACATTATTGTATTGTGCATGCAGGCAATGACAAGTACGCCCACTTGAAAAAACTTGACAAGGCATCTGAGAACCTTCAACTATTCAAAGCTGACTTATTGGACTATGAGTCTCTTCGTGCAGGGATTCTAGGATGCGACGGAGTGTTTCATGTTGCTAGTCCAGTCCCCTCCACCACTGTGCCAAATCCTGAGGCAATAATCTCTCCAATTCGTCCCCTTCATACTCGATCTCACTTGCAATAGATTAATTACTACACTCAGTTTCTATGGTTGCTAAGTTAAATCATTTAGTGAGGCTCATATAAGTGGTTCTAAGTTATTTCATTGATTAGGGCACTGAAGGGGTGCCAAAATTTTTACAACCATTGCTATCTTCATTGCCATTGCTCACTTGTATAGTATACGTTCATGCTTCATACTCAAATAATTTGAATGTGCTAAGATATGCTTACCAAATTAATGCTTATATTATCCTGCATCTTGTTGTACTATTTTTCCAGGTAGAAGTTGTTGAACCTGCCGTGAAGGGAACACTTAATGTACTTAAAGCATGCCTTGAAGCAAAAGTCAAACGAGTTGTTTTTGTGTCCTCTGTTGCTGCTGTGATCATGAATCCTAGGTGGTCTGAAGGTCAATTGTTGGATGAAACTTCTTGGTCGGATAAGGAATACTGCAGAAAAACTGAGGTATTCAATTAATGTATGTATTTAGGGAATTTTTATTAGCACTCCAAAACTCGGCATCCTACACTCGAAAATCTGTGATCTTTTTCATTAGGGACAAGTGCATGATGATGACTACCTAGGAGTGCCATAGCAGCTCCCCATATTTAATTGTACAATGAACTCATGGTGGTCTTGGTGATCAACGCGACTTGCAGTAGAACCAACAAATAGGAACACGTATACACAACTTTCCTTTAGGGTCATGCTAGGATTTGCTGATTCTTCACCAAGGATTCCAAGAGCAAATGCCAATAGAATAGGAATAAAAGAAAGGAAACTCTATTCTTTAGTCAATAATAGTGAAAGACTGTTGTCGATAGACTATAAGTGTCTAGAGTTCTCATGTGTAAAATTAGAAATCCTAAAGCAATATCATTAATCCCCACCAAAACAGGAAAATAAAAATAAAGGAACTTACCAAAAACAGGAGGTTTTGAGAATGACCACCAAAATTCTAAAACTACGTATGTTTTAGAATCATGACAAACTATTTTTAATTGAAATCCAAATTTAGACTAAAATTTATTACAAAAACACAACTTAATAAAATGGTGAAATCATGCTTTTTATTAGGCCTATGAGATGCAATGCCTTGAGCAGTTCTGCAACTTTAGCTCATAGTTTCATCCAGTACCATTTCACTATCGTAGAAATTTAGAATGAAGCAAATCCATTAGTGTGATCTTATCGTCTAGCTATGCAGACTCTTTAAAGTTATTCTAGTGTGAGTATATCACTTTCTTATGTGTTACCAGTTTAACAATTATGAAGCGTTGTCTGTGCACTCTAATGCAAGTGATTTGCATTTGTATGTTGACTGTCTAGTTCTTTGTTTAATTTTCCAGAATTGGTATAGTCTTTCAAAAACTTTAGCAGAATGGGAGGCTCTGGAGTTTGCAAGAAGAAATGGGCTTGACTTGGTAACTGTTTGTCCTACACTTATTTTGGGGCCAATTCTGCAGTCCACTGTAAATGCAAGCACCTTGGTCCTCATCAAGCTTTTGAAAGGTACTTACTTTTGCATAACCACATGGCGCATAACTAATTCTATTGCTTTAGAATCTACAAATGTATAGATAGGTAGTTGGGGTAGTATATGTATTTGGCTCCATTTCGGTTTTTATTAAACAGATTTCAGGTTTATCCTCCGTTCATTATCTCTGGTATCTATATTAACTGGGTTTAGCAATGTATCCATGCAGAAGGGTATGAGTCATTGGAAAACAAGGTCCGAATGATAGTTGATGTGCGGGATGTAGCTCAAGCAGTCCTTCTGGCGTATGCGAAGCCCGAGGCTGAAGGAAGATACATATGCACCGCCCACCATATCAAGGCAAGAGATCTCGTCGAGGAGCTGAGGAGCATTTATCCTGATTACAATTATCCTAAGAAGTAAGGTTTCCCGTTGATTCTTGAGGGACTTTTCAAATTCTATATATTACTTTATTGATCATCATGGTCATGCAATCCAAAAGTAGAACTGACTGTGATTCCTGTCGTTATGATTTTCTCCTAAAACTAATTTGATGATTGTGCACATGTATGTTTTGGCAGCTTTATTGAAGTAGAAGAACAGCAGCGGTTGAGCTATGAGAAACTGCAAAGGCTGGGTTGGAATGCCCGGCCATTGAAGGAGACGCTCATTGACTCTATTGAAAGCTACAAAGAGGCTGGAATCTTAGATTGAAAAGATATCAGAGCGTGCTTTACCTAACTAGATGCTCTGAACCCATCTTACAAAGAGGAAAGTTTGGCTTGTTGCAAGTAGCTTGGAGTCTACCCTATTACATATGTTACTTTTCTGTCTTTAGCTAATGACATTATACTGAATATCTTTTATGTTATCTTTTCTGTTTGTTGGGAAAATAGTGCTTTGGACTGTTTCAATCAGAATCTTCGGTTCATATCAAATTGTCAATGCTAACAATGGATGACAAAGAAAGCTCAGCTAGCTACAACCACATACCAAGTCCTTTGGTTTTGTAGATTAATTAAGAATAGGGACAATACGAAAAGCGTAGGTTTTTTATTGCGAAACGTCTCTGATGTTAACGAGTAGTAGTAGTCTAACCCTGTTCTGTCGTCAGATTTATTTATATTCTCATATTGTAAATTCATATTATTTCCAGTGCTAATTTTGTCTATATTTGTATGGTGTACATTCTTGCATGAATATTTATAAAATTAATTTAAAAAACCAGTGTGCGGAGTAAACAAGGCAACAAAGTCGCAATGCTCTTGGGCCCCGTGTCATCAAAAAAACAAAATGTCGCAATGCAAGAAATGCATTAACTAAGGGGGGTCGTTGAAATTCAGACCCAAAAAAAAAAAAAAAAAAGGGTTAACTAATTATATATAGATATAGACATAGATAGAATGAAGGGAAACCAGAAGACATAGCAGCAGCTAATAATACATAGACGGATAGATACACAGATTATAGATGGCGGGTGAGAAAGAAAAGGTATGCGTGACTGGGGCTGGAGGATTTGCAGCCTCTTGGGTCGTTAACCTTCTTCTCTCAAAGGACTATGTTGTTCATGGAACAGTCAGACAGCCAGGCCAGTCTCTTTCTTCTCTTCTCTTAGTTGGTTTTTATATATAATTTATAAAAGATGTGTATTGATGTGCAGGGGACAGCAAGTATGCTTACTTGAACAAGCTTGAGAAAGCATCAGAGAACTTGAAACTGTTCAAGGCAGATTTGTTGGACTACGACTCTCTGCGTGCGGCTGTTGAAGGATGCAGTGGAGTCTTCCATGTTGCCAGTCCTGTACCAGCTGGTCATAGTGTTGCAGATCCTGAGGCAAGACTATTATATTTAATTAATTAATTTTCTCAAAGTATACAAGTTATGCTGTTTTTATTTACTATTATAATTCAATCTGTCCTGCTCCTTGCAGGAGTTTCTTGAACCAGCTGTAACGGGAACGCTTAATGTACTCAAGGCTTGCGTCGAAGCCAAAGTGAAGAGAGTTGTTGTTGTGTCCTCCATAGCCGCTGTTGTTATGAACCCTGACTGGCCTAAGGGTCAAGTCAAGGACGAAACCTGTTGGTCTGTTCCTGAATATATTAAAACGACCAAGGTAATTGTCCATTTTGACTTATATTTGGTGGATGAAGAACCTTACTTTTATGCTGAAGCCAGACCATTAATTTTGTGCTCCAGAAATGGTACTATCTTTCCAAAACAGAAGCAGAAAGACAGGCTTTGGAGTTTGGAAAAAGAAATGGAATTGAGGTTGTAACTGTTTGTCCTTCCCTCATTTTGGGGCCAGTTTTGCAATCCAATTTGACTTCCAGTAGCCTTCTGCTAGTTGGGACTGTAAAAGGTATCTCTATCTACTTAGCTCTATATCATATCATATCATACTTGTTTGTTTCAAATTTAAATAAATAAACAAGCTTAGTCTGATGCTGTGAGTTTGTAGGTGGGGTTGAATCATTGGGATACAATTACTGGACGTTGGTGGATGCTCGTGATTTCGCTGAAGCACTGCTTCTTGCATACAACAGATCTGAGGCCGGAGAGAGATATTTATGCACATCGCACGCTATCGGTGCAGAGGAGGTGGTGGAGAAGTACTTGAGGCCTGCATATCCTAACTACAGCTATCCCAAGATGTAAGTTTTTCTAACCCTCCAGTATTTTTCTTCACTTCTCAGTTTGTGGGCCTTAACCATCCATGTTGATGTTTACTGAGATGCCTTGCCCTTGTATTGGTATTGGCAGCCTTACCCACACAGAGGAAGAAAAAGAGCACCTCAGTTCGGAAAAATTGCAGAGGTTGGGTTGGACTTTCCGGTCTCTGGAGGAAACTCTCATTGATTCCATTGAAAGCTACCGGAAGGCTGGAATTGTGGACTAGAAAAAATTCACATGTTTATTGTATCTTCCCTATCATCATATGCACAAAGAAGATAATAATTTTGCTATGATCATCATCAGCATTCTTAGCAATCTCTGCTCTCATTTTGAATTGCACAAGCGATGTCTCAGAAATATATAATATCATAAAAGATTTCATATAACACTAGCACTCTTTTAAATCCTTCTATAGTCAAATTAAATTTCAAATCAAGTAGACTAAATGCGTATAACGCCTCGTGTTAG